CCCCCTTTAGATTTAGCACCCCTATGACTACGGTGCCCCCCCCCTTTAGATTTAGCACCCCTATGACTACGGTGTGTGTCCCCCTTTAGATTTAGCACCCCTATGACTACGATGTGTCCCCCCCTTTAGATTTAGCACCCCTATGACTACGGTGTGTGTCCCCCTTTAGATTTAGCACCCCTATGACTACGATGTGTCCCCCCCTTTAGATTTAGCACCCCTATGACTACGGTGTGTGTCCCCCTTTAGATTTAGCACCCCTATGACTACGATGTGTCCCCCCCTTTAGATTTAGCACCCCTATGACTACGGTGTGTGCCCCCCTTTAGATTTAGCCCCCCTATGACTACGGTGCCCCCCCCCTTTAGATTTAGCCCCCCTATGACTACGGTGCCCCCCCCCTTTAGATTTAGCCCCCCTATGACTACGGTGCCCCCCCCCTTTAGATTTAGCCCCCCTATGACTACGGTGCCCCCCCCCTTTAGATTTAGCCCCCCTATGACTACGGTGCCCCCCCCCTTTAGATTTAGCCCCCCTATGACTACGGTGCCCCCCCCCTTTAGATTTAGCCCCCCTATGACTACGGTGCCCCCCCCCTTTAGATTTAGCCCCCCTATGACTACGGTGCCCCCCCCCTTTAGATTTAGCCCCCCTATGACTACGGTGCCCCCCCCCTTTAGATTTAGCCCCCCTATGACTACGGTGCCCCCCCCCTTTAGATTTAGCCCCCCTATGACTACGGTGCCCCCCCCCTTTAGATTTAGCCCCCCTATGACTACGGTGCCCCCCCCCTTTAGATTTAGCCCCCCTATGACTACGGTGCCCCCCCCCTTTAGATTTAGCCCCCCTATGACTACGGTGCCCCCCCCCTTTAGATTTAGCCCCCCTATGACTACGGTGCCCCCCCCCTTTAGATTTAGCCCCCCTATGACTACGGTGCCCCCCCCCTTTAGATTTAGCCCCCCTATGACTACGGTGCCCCCCCCCTTTAGATTTAGCCCCCCTATGACTACGGTGCCCCCCCCCTTTAGATTTAGCCCCCCTATGACTACGGTGCCCCCCCCCTTTAGATTTAGCCCCCCTATGACTACGGTGTGTCCCCCCCTTTAGATTTAGCATCCGTATGACTACGGTGTCCCCCTCCCTCTCCAAGCCCTGCCACATCCTGAGTACTAGATCTAGCATGACGAAGTCATGGACAATTAACTAACTGAATGCCACATGTAGATGTATAGTATGACTAAGACAGGTTTTGATTTAGCTAGAGCACGCTCCACGGCAATTACCTTCCCCACTCACCCCCCCACGGGTGCCCTAAGTGTACCCAAAGCCCATCAAATCCAGAGCACTCCTTACAGCTTTAACCCTTAACGCATTGGTGCCATAGTGGACCCGACACGGATGGCACCAGTACTTGGGTATGGGGGGGGGGCATGCAAAATGTCACCAGCACACCATTGAGGTTCAAAATGTGAGATTTGTTATTGGGGACCGATAATTGCCCCATTTTGCACCTTCAAGAATAATAAGTTGGTCAGCGTCTGAGCTTACACGGGGTAAAAAAAAAAGGCAATGTCACATGCACCCCCTCTACGTGGAAGTACTGGGCATTTCCGATGGTCTCTTTGGGGGGGGAGTCAGCCTATGCCCCGAATTCAGGTATTGGCAGTTGTATCTCACTTGGATCCCCAGCCAATCAATATGCTCCGAGGGGTC